GCTATTCATGTCTACTCCCTTCCATAGTAGAGACCCTTAGTAATTAAGTGGTTCTTTTGTGAGTGAATGAATGCATCAACTCAGGGAGCAACTAGAACCGTTTAGCCCGTATTCTCCCTGTTGTTTCCCTTTTGTCATAGTGCTATGGCAGAAACAGCCAATACTGGCCAACATTGATTAGATGTCTCTTCTAAGGACTGTTTTATTGTGATTTCCAAATACTGTGAAGGCATTTAGATCACATTTTTATAATTCTTCTTTTTTCATAGACTGCAAATGAACACTGGACTCCATGCATACTAAATGAAGCAGACAAAATTATATACAAGGTATATTTTGTTTGAATAAGAATATATGAGTTCCCTAGGTTCAAACATTTTTACATTTTCTTAAACAACTTCAGTGGAGTAGAACATGTACTAAGGGTATAAATTAAAATTCTAGAGTATAGTTTTGCCTGTTACGTACTAGCATTATGTTCTATAGCCATTGTCCCTCTTTGAGCTTTATATTTTTTACCTATCAGACAAAGAAGACAGCTAAATAAAATATTTCCCAAATGGTATTTTCTGGTGATTTGGGGTAATTGGGATATTACTCGATGATGTAGAATTGTCTGTGGTCAGGTAAGATGACTGGCGAATGTACTGAGTGATAGATACGTAGTTAAACTGGTATGTTTTAAACTACATGGCTTCACAATGCTTTAACTCAAGCATGCTCACAAACATTTTGAATCTCTGAGAGGTGTTTTTAACTTGCTGCTCACAGAGTTCTCCCCTTTTTCCTTACCTAAAATAGTCCGTGATAAATCTGCAGGAGGGGTCATGCCGGCCTTATTCAGCAAAAAGTGTACAGATCGTGTTAAATACTGAGTTACCGATACGTGTTTGATGGTCAATGAATGTGTCTCTCCGGGATATTTTTGTATTCTTTGAAGTGTAAAGTAGCAAATACCAGCCTTGATAAATTATATAATTTTGCGTTATTATTTTTATCCAAAAAGTCAGCTGAGTAATTTAGAGTATTTTTTAGTACTGATTTATAATTCCAATGTATTGGTTGCTGGACCTCTTTCCTTTTTCTTTTATAGCTTCTACGACTTGATAGTCTTAGTGCCTACTGGAATGTAAACTGCCACCTGTGTTACCAGGGAACAAGAGAACAGATCTTGGTAATTTCCACTTATGCGTAGAAGAGCCAACACTATGTTCTCTAGATTTGTTTGACATGAGAATCATTAATAAGGACAGGCTATCACTCATTTACGTACTTGCGCATGCATAACTGAATCAGAAATGTGAAACATGCTATTTTTGCAGTTCTTGAGAAATCACTCACTGGACTGTGAGTTGAGAATATTATTATTAGTGTTATCCTATTAAATTCAAACTGTGTTTATGCTTCCTATACTCTTAATTTGCTGGTATTCTTGTTCCATGTGGCACTGATTACTTTGAGAGTATTGTAAAGAAAGATGATGCCTTTCAGATCTAAAGATATGTCTGATGGATGTTTTAATCATTTGTGATGGCATTTTCTTGACTAATCAAAGTATTAATTCAGTGTATAGCCACATGTAGCTAGGTCTATTCACGTAGAGGAGAAAAGAAGAACAGTTGAGTTTCTTAACCTGGGTCTAATTCCAAGGCTCTAGCTCTTGTCTCTCCAGCAGGGACAGTCGCAGATAGTTTGTGGACTATGAAGTGTATGAGGTAACAGCTCATGCGTATTTATACCTATGTTTCTCACCATAGGCAGAGGAGAACATAATATTAAAATAATGCTTCTAGGTATTGAGAGATTTAAATAAATTGCGTTCATATCTTTAAAGAAATATACCTGTGCATACCTCAGTGATTTTTTTCCTTACTGGATTGCTAGTTGTAAAGAGACGAATAAGGATCTTAATTTCAGCACTGATATTCTTCCCTCCCCATTTATTTTGTGGTTTTAATGTGTTTGGATGTGGTTTCATTCTTGCATAATTAAATCTTTTGTCTAGGATCAGCTAAAAAGTGGAATTCTTAGAAGTTGCAATAGACCCTCACATCATCAATGTAGTAAGTAATGAGTGAGTCTCATATTACAGGAATTACATACCTTATTTTAAAATACATTTTCTGGTAAAGTTATATTGACAAAAAGGAAAAGAAAGTATTAATTGTGTGCCTCAGTTTTATGATAGAGCGGATTTGGATCGTAACTATAATTGAGGATTAGATTGTAACGCAGACACTGCTGGAGAGAGAGGCAGAGTGTGAAGGAGGGGGAGATAAAAGTACTGTGACTGTGGTTCGCTGACAGCTAACTCTGCTGGACTTCCATGTTGTCATCTTAAACCTTGTTAGTGACTATTTTGTCTTGGGGTTTGTCTATTTATTTTAATAAACATATATCTGAGATTTTGATGTTGAGTCACCTCTAGCATGTCATTATTTTAAGACAAGCTAGCCACTCTAGAAACTTCTCAAGTAAGTTTTTCCACTTTTTGCACCTTTACCATTGTTTTGTAAATAGATTATTAACCAAACAATCTCCTTTATTTAGTTTTATCCCATCTCTCTTCTCTCCTTCATTTCCAATAAATCCATTTGCTTGTTTCTGTGTACCCTGTCTTTCCTTTCATTGGTCATTCTCAGCTTCCCGCCCACACTTCCCTATTCTTCTGGTTCACGGTGGCTTCCGGCTACTTCTTGTAGTTCAGGACCATTCCACGTTGGTTGGGACTTTCTCTCACAATCATTAAAAAACCCACGTCAAACCGTACGTCGTTGAGTTGGTTCTGGCCCATGGCTATTTCCTGTGTGTCAGAGTAGAACTGCGTGTCATGGGGTTTTCAGTGGCTGTGACTTCTCAGAAGTAGGTCACTAGGCATTTCTTCTGGAGCAATGCTGGATGAATCTGAACACCCTCAACTGCTTGGCTAGCAGTCTAGTACTTTGCATTTTGCTCCTCTCAGGAACTCCATACACCTAACATCACGGAGTTGGCCCAATACTGAGTGACTCTCTAGGATTTCCCAGACTGCAAATTTCTAGGGGAGCAGACAGCCTCACCTTTCTCCCACAGACTGCGAGGTGGGCTTGAGTCTCTAATATTGTGATTAGTAGTCCCAATACCAATTTCACAGAGTCACCAGGTCTTTTGGAACTGCATAACCCACCCACTACAGTTGTTTCTGACTCATAGTGACCCTGTACAGGGTTTCTGATGCCATAAATCATTGTGGGAAAAGACAATCTTGAGGTAGAAAACTGCTTTCTCCCTTAGCAGTTTGTATTTTGACCTGCTGACATTAGAAATATTTAACTAACAATATTCGAGATCTTTTGCATAGTTACATATAGTGACTCCACAGACCTCTGTATTTAATGATGATAAAAAGATAGTGCTTTGGTGCTTCTTTCCCCCACTATTCTGACCTCAAACAAATCGAATTAGACCAGAGCAGGCACACTGCTACCAGATAAGAGCCTGCAACACAGGGATTCCAGGATAGATACGCCCCTCAGGGCCAACAAGGAGAGTAGAGATACCAGGAGGATTAGGGGAGGGTGGGGGGAGAAAGGCGGACTCAATCACTAGGATCAAACTAGAATTCCCTCCCAGGAGAATGAATAATGGAAAAGTGGGTGAGGGGCGACAGAGGATGATGTGAGATATGGGAAAAATAATTTATAGCTTATCAAGGGTTCGTGAGGGAGGACGGGTGGGCGAGGGTGGGGGAAGAAATGGGGAACTGATATCAGGGGCTCAAGTGGGAAGAGAATGCTTTGAAAATGATGATGGCGGCGTATGTGCAAATGTGCTTGACACACTGGAGGAGTGCATGGATTGTGATAAGAGATGTAAGAGCCCCCAGTAAAACTATGGAAAAAAAAGATGTACTATTGCTAGTTTGTGAAAGCATTTAGTTTCATTGTTTGAAAGAACTAGTCCAGAAAAATTCTGAAAATTTCACTCTCAGACATATTCTACTTGTAAATAACCTATAAGTCAGTGAAAAATGTTAGTCTTATGCAAATTACAAATAGCACCAAGTATCA